TTTTTTTTTTTTTTTTAAGATTTTATTTAAGAGAGAGAAAGAGAGAGCACAAGCTGAGGTGGAGGTTGCTGAGGGAGAAGGAGAGATAGACTCCCTGCTGAGCAGGAACCTGAGATCATGACCTGAGCCCAAGGCAGATGCTTAACCCACTGAGCCATCTAGGGGCCTCTCATCATTGCTTTTCTACCCGAGTATTATTTCTATAAAATTGTGAGAATTCAAACTTTGGTTTAAATTCTGGGGCAAGTTACCTAAAGAATACCTCTGCCTTTGTCTTGAGCCCCTGCCCTCCTTCTAGCCTGGCTCTCTTGGTGAGTCTAGGTCTTCAGCAGAGAAGTGGGGATCAGTCTGCCTGAGTCAGCACACTCACTGAACAGAAGGCACGGACAACCAGGGGTTATCTGTATCATTTTACTTTCTGAAATTTATTATGGCACTAAACTTGTTTTCTTTTTTCCCTGAATTGCTCTTTCTCCAACTTTGCTTTAAGGAATAAACGTCATCCTGACCTTCATCTCTGGGCTTGTTCTGGGAAGCGAAAAGACCAAGATCAAGGAATTGCTGGGGTGGAGAAAAAAGTAGCAGTGCAAGACACAGTTAATGTAGAGGAAAGGAAATACCATGTGCAGAACCATAAAGAACCACCTCGTTGGCCCCTAAAAATGGAAGGAACTTACATAACAAGTGAGCACAGTTACCAAAAGCCACAAAATTTTGGTCAGGACTGCAAAGCTCTCGCAGACCCTGGGAGCTCAGATGATGATGATGTTAGTAGTTTTGAAGAAGAACAAGAATTCCACACAAAAGATAAAAAACGTTCACAATACTCAGTGAAAGAAGATGGAACGCCTGAAAAGGTATAACTAGTTCATTTGTTTTGGCTTGGAAAATATGATAGACCATAGGAAAATTTTATGAAATAAAACATACTGAATTCCCAGTAAAATTATGTTTATATTTCCAAGTTCACAAATACCTTGTTGGGTAAAGACAGTTTTTGCTTTCTCTATTAGAAAACACTGGCCATTTGAACACTGAATTATCCCCTAATTCAGAGTTGTAGTAATTCAGTAAACTTTTGCCCCAACCAAGGTTTTAGTTTTATAAGCACACTTAGATACCTCCGAAAACTATGAGCCACATTTTTTTCCAAATGAAGATGTCTATGTGTGAGAATGTGTAAGTGCGTGTGGGTATGTATATATTAATACAATATGTGTTTCAGATAAAAGGTGGCATTCCAGTCTTTCTTTTTAAAATTTTAGCATACTTGTTTATGCATATCAATTCCATTATGTGATACACTGAATTCTTACGGCTCTTTGTACGTTGGATTTCTATAAACTTTTTTCCTGTTCATAGAGATTGTCTGAGAAATATTGTTTCTTCATTTTTCATTGATTTTCAACTAACAATGCCACTTTAAAATTAGTTCTTTATTTTTCGGGCCTGTTTTATCAAGGAATTCACTGTAAACAAATAAATTTGGGAAGTCTGTAGTTCATGATATTTGTGGCAAATGATTTAGTCAAATTAACATCCCTTTTATGAAATGAATTCTTTCTGGTGAGTCTGAATTCAGATTTTTTGTGTATGTGTAAAGCGTTTTGCACTTTTTAAGTTTTTAAAAGATTTTTATCTTTCTCTTGCCTCACTGATTTACCTGTAAGAGTTAATTACAGTCTGCAGTTAATTAAACTGGCCTTTGTCAACTTCCATGATTTTTCCATCATTGCTTTCTGCCTTCACTCCACTTATGTCATTAGTTTAGATTCATTTATAGAGGGGGTTAGTCTAAATGAGCTGGGCTTTCTCGTTACAGAGTATAATTAGCAACTTACTTCTTTAGCAAGTCTTGTTGGATGCTCTCCACGCTGTGGAGCCCCATGCTAGGCTTTGTGGAGTGACATGGCAAGCATATCTACTCTTTTAAGGACCATCAGATATAATTTAATTATGTGCTAGCACTTCCTTTAAAATATTCTAAGAGTCCAATTGGATTTCACTGATCATTGTGGTAATGAGGTGTTTCATGTATCTTTCCCGTTATGACATTACATTTCACCCATTTTGTTTTTTTCCAATGGTTCTTTGGAGAAGAATCCAGCTGAAAGGAATACGGTATTTATTTATAATGATAAAAAGGGCACTGAAGACCCAGGAGACTCACATCTTCAGTGGCAGCTCAATCTCCTTACACACATAGAGAATGTGCAGAATGAAGTTACCAGCAGGATGGACCTAATAGAAAAAGAAGTTGATGGTAATTTTAAGAAAGAACTAAAATACAGTGATTATAGCATGTAAAGTGTGTTTATTGTTGTTACGAAGACGTTATGTAAAGTGTTTTAAATTATGGGATGAGAACTGTAGATGCTGTCCGTGCTGATAGAGCATCTTGTTCCTTCACGTCGCATTTAATAAAGCTGGTGTTTGGGGTCTTTTAGGCTGGAAACAATATGACTGGATATTATCTCATTTTTCTTAAAGGTGGATATTTATTAAATACTGCCCATCTGCTGGGTGCAATATAGAGCGCCCATTAGTCTCATTAGTTTCATTGAACTTCGTTTTCTTTGGAAGTCAGTGTAAGGGCCTTAAGCATATTTAAAATATGGGGGAAAACATTTTGTATCTTTGCTCTCACGGTGGTCAGTAGGAAGTGAAATTAACAAGAAGAAACTCCCACAAGCTCAAGTAGATAAACCTTAAGTTTGCACATACATTTTCAAATGGTTTTCTTTGATATTTTTCATTTTATCATACAGGGCCCTGAGGAGTGGACAGGAAAGATTATCCCCATTTTATAGTTGAGAAAATAGAGTAAGATTACCTGATTCCTAATCCAGTGGGGTTTTTTCCTAACCTCATACATAAGATTGTATTTCCCCCCTTTTTTTTAATTTCACCCCACAGTAAGTTAGAGCTCCTGCTGCTTTGTTTTTCCCTGAGAAAAGAGGAAATGGAAACCGATTTCAAAAGCATCTTCCATTTAGTTTAAGCTAGCTTTTTGTTACTTTAATGTTTTGAGTAGATTTTTGATGGGAAAAAAATGCAACTTGACACTATCCCTTATTATTAATAAAAGGTGTGGAGTAACTACTGCCTAGACTTCTAACATGCTTACATTTTTTTTAAAGTAATGATAAAATAGTGGGACTGAAAAGGAAACTAAGAAATTGCCACCTCCTTTCCTTTGTTAAAAAGAACTTCCTGATTTAAAAAAAGAATGGTTAGAATAGCTAAGTTTTATTTAAAATGAAGTAGAGATGATTTAAGTCTAAAATAATAGACAGCTTCAGCAGGCACAGGAAACTGTTCCCTATTCCAGAAGAGAGTAGAAGAAGATATTCAAAATGAAATTAGTTTATGCCTGCAAAGGGAAAAAGTACCTAAAATAAGAACAGAAGTTACCAAGAAGGACTGGAGCTCTTGTGGGATAAGATATAATATAAAGGATGCTAAAGCCTCTCCGAAATGGCTTGAATATATTTATGGCCTTCTAGGAGAAGGAACATGATCTCCGTCTCCATCCTTGTCCAGCCTTCCAGTTATGCCATGTTATGACTTCTTCCAGTTGCCATTTCAATTTGTTTGTTCTGTTCTCTCTTTCAGTTCTGGAAAGCTGGCTCGATTTCACAGGAGAGCTGGAGCCGCCTGACCCTCTCGCAAGACTGCCACAACTTAAACGCCATCTCAAACAGCTCCTGATTGACATGGGCAAAGTACAACAAATAGCAACTCTTTGCTCCGTATGACAACAGTGAAAACCTAAGGAAAAGAATGTGGGTCTCCTCAGTTGATAATTTTTATTATCCACATGACTGCTGAGTGGATAGTTAAAAAAGCGTAGTGATGTTTGGTCATTTACTGATGTGTGACATCAATAGGATGGCACCTTGGAAAGGAAAATGAAGAACAACCTTTCTCAAGGAAGCTAATATTAGAAAAAGATTATGAGCAAGCTACATGATAATGTGTTATATGCCAGGGATCAATGAAGTTGAATATAATTTATACCAAGGAAATTGAGTTGGCAGGATTTTTCAATAGTTGCTTTACATGAAGCTCGAGATACGTGTAGAAAGAAATATGGTGTGTTTATATAATTTTTAGTAGAAAGATCCATGTAATAAACCAGCATTTGGCCAAAAGCAAAATTGTAGAGGCAAGGAAATTCTGGAGAGTTCTATAAGGTTGCTATACGAACTGTCTTCACTGCAGTTGATCCAGCTGCACCGAAGTTTAGATAAGTATTAAACTTTCATGGGATCATGAGCTGTATCTTAGGTGATGAATGTTCTTAATCAGAAAACTGATAGTGGAAGCCTCACTTCTGAGGAAAAACAATTGTGGAATTCTGACTTCATTATGATTATATATTTTTAAAAATGCCAAATAATTGGAATTTCTTGCAGGCATTAAGCTCATTATAAACAGAATGGCTTGCAGAAGGGTCAGTGTGCCAAATGACGATGACACTGCTGGAGAGAGAATGTTAAATGTCATGGGAGTTCCGCTCCCAGGTCTTGGGGATGCCGTCAGCCCATCAGAAACATGGATGTGTCATGTGGACTATCTATGTCCTATATATAGTTGAATTCAGGACTCAGGCATCAGCGTACAGTTTGATCCTGAGTATGCTTGGTGTTTGCCTTCAGATAAAAATTGTAAATAACCTCAGCTGGGATGAGGAGTGACAAAAATATCAAAATGATTTGTGGCTGTGGATTTTTTAACTGCTGGTAGTGGAATACTGGAAAAGCTTCATTTCTGAAGATGAATTTTATTTTTAAAAAATACATGCGCACTCAAAACTTTTAGCTTTGATCACAAATGGACAGATTTCTGAAACCAAAGGCAACTAAGTTGCTGAGTTAGCTCTTGCTGGATTTCGGGCCCAGGTCCTCCTGTCTGCCAGTGCTCTTGTGAGTTGCGTGCCGCCGCCATGCTCCATACGCAGGTATGCGTAAGCGTGTGTGCTTGTTTGAAACAAACACTCAACGTACATATGTACATATCCTACACATATTTATATCTGCACATATCTAGTTTTATTACTATAGACTATAAGAGTTGGTGGTTAACATGAAATGTTACCTTTTAACAGACAGTTTTTAAAAATTAAAAATGTATGTACAGGTTTTGAAACTTTTTTAAAAAGGGGAAAAAGACTGTTCAGAGGAGGCTATTTGATGATATAACACTTGAATATTTTATGCCTCATTCTGTTTATCAGTTCTAGCGATCTGTGTAAATGCATTTTAGAACTGATACACAGTAAACTTGAATTTATCTTTGATAAGAATACATGCCACTGTACATTCAGATATTATTTAAATTTGCAAACACACTGTTCTATATGTAAGGTACTCTATGTAAAACTCTTTATTAAAACTGTTCCACATATCCTAATATTTCAGCTTGCCTTTTTGCGGCCTTATATTTTGATGTGAAGACGATTAAAAGAATGTACAAAACCATCATTAGAAATTTTTATTGCCTTTTGACATTTTCCAACTTGACAAATGTGCCAAAGATCAACAAACATAAGATATGGTCCTGTGTATTTACTTATTATACGTTAACTTTATCAGAGATCTTACTGGGAAATGAAAAGCTTTAGTAGAGGTGATTGGGGTACTTGCTTTAATTTGTATATTAAACTAAAAAAAAAAATAGTGCCTATATTCCATGTGTGGCGTAAAATTCCTAATGTCTATATTATCTTTCATTTGTGTTAAAAAAAATAATGGCTCTAATCTTTTCCCTGTTGTGGTTAAATTCCAGACATTGAATTTGTATCTTTTTTTTTTTTTTTTCTTCAGAGTGGAGCAAATAGCATCCTTAACCTATGAATTGTGGAGTTGCCTAGATTCTTGTCACATACACAGAAGACCCTTTGTACCTATTAATACTCATCTTCTCAGTTCCTGGTGACCATAGTTAGATTGATGTGCATGGTTCTTGTAGTACCTTATAATCAGATCAGTTTATTGGTTAGCAGCCAGCAAATAAGAAGTTCCATTAATACTTAGATTACTAAATTTTTGCTCCGCTTTTATGTATATGAATTGAAAGCCTAAATTTTTTAATTTAGATTTTTAAAGTAAATCTATGTCAGATTACTTTTCTGTACATACCCATTTAATTTAGAGTATATCAACATATACACTTGGTTGAAGTAAGCTGAGCCTTTCCCGGTTTAAAAGTATAAATTGGTTTTTGAGAAGTAAGTCCATTGTGAGAGGTTTTGGATGAGTTTTCTTTCCACTTAATCTTTCTGAACAAATATATGTAAGTATAAGCAATAAACTAGAGAGGGTGTTTCTTGAAAAGATAACTTTTCATTGCTACCCAGACAGAACCAAATGAGCACCGGTGGGAGGGATCCTTAGAATGGTACTGATAAATGTAATTTGTATTTCCTCATACCTGTGCGTGGTCCTACTGACTAACTTTTCTCAAACTTAAGGGCAATGCCCTCTTTCCTTAAAGGAATTCAGTTACTCTCATAATTTCCTAGCACTCTTATTTTCACTGACTTATTTCCCCTCACTTATTCCACATGTTTAAAACAAAGCACCCTATATCCCCTCCAGTCACCTTGACCTCCTCCCCCTTCACTCTCTCTGCTGTGACATTACGCTGAGAGCCCCAGCTTGTAACTCATAGTCTCCCCGTATCTGTTCCATCACCACCTGTGCTGGCTGCTCAAAACATGCTGCTTTCCCCCTTTGCCATCTCTAGTTTTTATCACATCATGTTGTGGAGGTGTTAATACTGGCCTCCTGAAATTTTAACCTTCCTTGTAGTTCACAAAAACGGTCACTTGCCGGGCTAGAAGATTCACGCTTCCTGAGCACCTGCTCTGTGCCAGTATCGTACGTTACCTGCAGAACCCCGTTGGATGCTGGTGCGGATAGTTGGTCAGACAGGATCATTTTCAAGACGGGGAAGCTGAAGTATAGAGACATTTAGAAACATGTCCTCGGTAAGACTTAAGTGGCAGGTTCAAGTTGCGAACGCTGTGGTCCTGGTCTTTTCCTAGCAGAGGTGCGTTTCAACTGATGTTGTCAGTTCAGTTGTCTTCTCTGAAACCACTGGTGACTCCCTGTTTCAAATCAGTTTTGTGTCATCCGGATCTCAAATTCATTTAAGTACAGCCTCTCTGTTAGATGGCCTATGCTTGTTTCCATGTCTTGCCTCCTTAACATTTCCCTCTTCTGGAAGATTCTCCTTTGTTGTGTCTCTACAAACCTGGGCAGTTATTCAAGCTTCAATTTCTCTTCCATATCCAAGGGCTCCTCTCGTACCCTGCGTTGTTCCCGCGTGCAGCGTTCCCTGGTGTCGCTCCTCCTCAGCAGGAATAACGAGGAGCGACATCAGGGAACGCTGCACCTGGCACTTAGTGGGGCAGGCATGAGCTTTGCAGTTCTGCCACTCACGTTTTCACTCTGGCAGATTACCAGCAGTGCTCTCTCTGAGCTCGGGTTTCCTCATCTATCAAATGTGAATGATCCCTAACAGAACCGTGTTGAGAGTTAAATGAAGCAAAGTACCTAGAAGCTCTGATTAAATTGTGAAGTTGAAAATTAAATGCAGTGGTCACATAGAGTGTCATCCATTTGCCAGCCATCAGGTTATGTGGCTGGATATAGAACTAATCAGGTCGTAGTCTATAGGCTAATAGAAACATAAAAAACATATTTTTCAGAGATGGGTGATACCGAAGAGTACAAGGAGCCAGAGAGGCAAAAGAATGGAAAGATAATTAGATTTGTAGGTAGTGGGGCTTGGGGGAAATAGACTATGTGCATTAACCAAAAAAATGGTCTTTGAGTGTTTTTTGACCTCTGTATAGGAATTTTGGAAAATTATCTGCTCCTGGTACCTGTATCATTGGGTACCCCTAAAAGTGGATCTGAAGACAAAACTTAAGTATGTTTACTGTGTTTAAGAGATCATCCAAGGAAGCTGGAGTGAGGAAGATGAAAGAGTGGGGGAGGGGAGGAAAAGGCCAGTATAGTTACGCACAGCTGAGGACCCTGCTGTGGGCCGTGGAGCTTTGATTTTGCCATTTGAAACTGTTCATCATAAATTTAAACAATTGCAGAAGGTGTGATTTCCAGTTTGTAAATATTGGCATATTAAAATCAACCTGCTATTTTTAAATGTATGTAATAGAATCAGTTGTTTTTGCTACTTAACGTCTATTTTCAAAATACAGGAGCAAGCTTTTTCTTGAAGTTGGGAACTTTTACGTATTTTTACATTCTCTTTTTTGCCTTTCCATTTCACTTCCCAATAGAATGTTGCCTGCCTTTATACTTACAGGTCTCTATCAGTCTCTCTTTTGTCCACAAAAAAATTACAATAAAAAAATGTATTTATAGGCTTTTTACTAGAATATCAAAATACATGTAGCAAACAGTAATATTACTGAATAGGAGATGGGAAAATCTGCAATTAGAATTCAGGATTTCAACCCTCCTATAACACTAGTTGATAGAACAAGTAGAAAATCAGGATATAGAACATGAAAAAATGTGAACACTCAGTTTGACCTAATTGACACACAACATTCCACCCAACAACATGAGAACAGAAATTTCCTTTTCAAGTGCATATGGAATACGCAGAAAGATGGACAGTATACTAGGCTATAAAACAGGTCTCAATACATTTAAAATAATTGAAATAATAATATGTTCTCTGATGACAATGGAATTAAACTGGAAATCTGTATTGGATATCTGGAAACCACCCACCCCCCCCAATGATTGGAAATTATTAACATACTTGTAAAATAACCATGAGTCAAAGAGAAAAGTCACAAGTGGAATCAGAAGACATTTTTAATTGAATGAAAATAAAAACAACATGCTAATATGTGGGCTGCAGCTGAAGCAATATTAGAGGGAAATTTATAGATTGAAATGCTTATTTTAGAAAGGTACTCAGATTTTAACTAGACTTACTGTGATCATTTCACAATATATACAGATATATATACAGATATCAAATCACGTATATCTGCAACTAATATTTGTCAATTATACCTCAGTTTAAAAAACTGGAAATTAATGGTACAAAATCACTGATCTAAGATTTAAAAACTAGAAAAACAAGCAAATTAAAACTAAAATAGAAAAGGAAGGAAACAATATGTGCTGAAATTAATGACCTACTAAATGCGCAAGCAATAGGGAAACCATATAAACCAAAATGATTCTTTGAGCAAACCAATAAAATTGGTTAACTCCTACATAGACTGATCAAAAATTAGAATGGAAGAGGGAACATTACCATGTGTCCAACAAACAATTTTTAAAGATATTATGAAAAATTATATGCCAATAAAATTTGACCGCTTACATGAAGAGGAATTCCTGAAAAGACAGATTACTGAAAGTGACTCAAAAATAAACAAATTGAATTTGTAATTAAAAATGTTCCCTCAAGACTCCAGGCCTGAGTGTGAATTCTATGAAACATTTAAGGAAGAAATCTCAATGTTGCACAAGCACTGACAGAAAATAGAGGAGAAAGGAACACTTTTGGAGACCCAACTTTGACCTCATGCCAGACCAGGAAAAGACACCACAAGAAAAGGAAATTACAGACCAATACGTGGTCCTCTTGAATAGACACAGAAGACCTCAACAAAATACTAGCAACGTGAATCCGGTTATCCATTGTAAGGATAATATATCAAGATCAAGTTGAGTGTTCCACAGGAATACAAATTTGGTTAATACTAAAAAATGTAATATGTCATCAAAATAAAAATATGTTCATTTCAATAAGAAGAAGCATTTTATGTTTCAGAATTCATGGTTGAAAACTCAGAGAAGGAATGGACAGGAATTTGCATTAATATAAAAGGCAATGACCGAGAAACTTACCCTTAAGGTAATGATAAATGAATACTTTCTTCCCTAAGATGGCCAGAACGTCCACTATCACCACTTCTATCCAACATTGTTCTGGAGGTCCTGCTAGTGCAATATGTCACTGAGCAACAAAGGAAGAAAAATAAAAGGCTTACTACTTGGAAAGGAAGAAAGAAACATTTCCGAGAACCATGTATATGAAATAGTCTAAGGAATCTGCCAAAATGCTACTAGAACTAGTATTTCTACACGTTAGCAACAAACTATTGGAAATGGGATTTTTTTAAATACCATTTTCAGCAGCATCAAAAATGTGAATACTCAGGGGTAAATCTGAAAACATATGCAGAACCTGTACACAGAAAAGTACAAAACAATGCCTAGAATAAAGATGAGATAAACAAATAGAAAAATACACCAAGATCATGGATTGGGAGATGCAAAATTGTTAAGTGTTAGTTTTCCCAGAACTGACCGATAGATACAATGCAATTCCGAGTAAAATCCCCACAGACTTTTTGAGACAGCAATTAGCAAGCTGATTCTAGAATTTAGAATTCATAGGGAAATGTGAAGGACCTAGAATAGCCTAAGCAATTTTGAAAAGAAAGAACAAAGGACAATTTCTGTTTAGGGGGCTTATTATAAAGCTACAGTCATTAAGATGGTGTAGAGATGGCAAAGAGAGATACAGATTGATGGTACAGAATAGAGAATCCAGAAATAGACCTAAAAAGTTATGGGCAATTGAATGGATGAGAGCTTGTTGCTCCCCATTCTTGCCAGCATTTG